ACAAATCTCTATATACATATGAACATATACATATATGCATACTTTTATGTATACATATATCTTATATACAGGGTGGACTAATCGAAAATATCACTTTGAATATCTCTCGATTTACCGGAGTAAGGGAGAAATTTTCGGGGTGCAAGTAATTTGGTATTAAATGAAAATTATAAGGTCACAGTATCATTCATTCTAAAATTACTAATCGATGAGAATAATTCCTAGAAGAAGATGAAATTGCTACATTAAATATGAAATGTATCGATATAAAAATCTTAAGAACATTATACGAGATGTTACATAAATATCGATCGAAAATTTTCATCTTTTATCTTAACTCTTTCGTTGCGATATTCGACTATAATCGAACACTCCCACCGAAATTGCAAAATAACGAGAAAATCAAGGTGAGCTGATTTTCACCGATTCACTCTGTATATGTGTACCATTTGGTGGTAAGATATACATGTATATGTGTATACTGTATACGATTGTTATACACCCATCTTTAGCGTGAACAAGAGACGACACACTTACAAGGATCGTCGAACGATCCCGGGACCAAGGGGCGGCCATAATGAGAGAACGCTATTCGACCTCCCGGCTACTCTTGATTTCAGTTAATTTGTCCCTCTCTGAACAAAAATCTGCCTTGAGTACCTTATCATGTATCACACTTGTATCACGGAACACGTCATATCTTCTGCTATCCACTTGTTACCGCCGTTTTCTTATGTACTCGCAGATGTTGTACCTTTGCCAGGCCTGGCGAACGATCTTCATAGTGTATATACAGAGACATTCGTCTTGGACGAATTCGCCACCCCTTATATTCGACGACGACCATTTCTCATCCTCTTAGAGATTTTTCTCACGTAGCGAGTTCTGAGAATATCTTCTTTTTTTTTTTTTTACGAATTCACATCGACTATGTGACTTTCTTTTTTAATTTTTTTCTATTCTGAAAATTATTATTAATATTTGAAGATAGCGAAGTGGAATTTTTGTATTACAGAGGTTTTTATTGGAAATTTTGGAAAATTTTTAATTTTCATTCCTGAAATTTTGTAATCAATATTGGAGGATGACGAAGTGGGAAATTTTGGGAAATTTTTCATTATTGCTTTTGGAAATTATATCGCGATTATGTTCGCCAGGCCAGTAGGCAAGCACAGAGTAAGCTGTCCGTGTGTTACGTCTTAATTCGAGGCTGTCGCAAAGTCGTTGAACTGAACAATTTCAAGCCATTGAATTCCTCTGTTATATTTGAAAATACTTCATCGGTTCCACACTTGCGCGTACGCGTACACATTCATCCAGGGTTTGTAATTTATCCTTAATCGATAAAAATCGTGATTCCCGTTGAAAAGTAATTTGAAAAAATCAACGTGGATAGAGAGAAAGAGAAAGATTAAGGGACGTAGAAAACGGGGACGGGGATTATGGAGCAGAAAGAGGGGTGAAATTGATAAAGGTGTTCACCAGGTCGAAGGACATTTATCATTGGACGTCCTTGCCTTGGTGGAAATGCGCGTTGACGCGGAATCTAATCCACCAAGATAATAATTCGCTTTTTCGCCCCCCTCCCCTCTTTCTCATGCATCTTATTTTTTTCTTTTCCTTTTCCATTATTTCTCTCATTCTCTCTCCCTCTCTATCTCACTGTCTCTCGCGTTTCTTCTCTCAAACTTTTCCTTCGCAGTATACGGTCTCAGTATTCTCCAAAGAATATTAAAACGTTCATTTTTCATTATAAAATGATTTTTAACCCAGAACTACCCTTAACAAGTTATTTTTTAGCTACATAAAAACTTGAACTTGCTTTGAAATTAGATTACAAACCCTGTGGACACTGAATCGCCTTAATTAGCCTTATTGAGTACTCGGTATCGCCAGGAACAGCCAAGTAGCATCTGAATAAACGACTCGAGCCATCAAGAACTCCGAAAAACTGACTACTTCATTTTTATAATGGACAAAATTTCAATTTCTCCTTCTTGATGGCTCGTCTAGGTACTTATCTACACTTTAAACTCAACCACCAAGACACGATATACTAAAAGTTGGATGGTATACAATCGTTAAACGCACACTATTAAAACAAGGTACTATGATAAATTGCAAAAAAAAAAAAAAAAGGATTAATCAGAATCACTGTAAAATAAATGAACTTTCGTACTTCCGGTTCCAAGCTACCCCCTACCTGACACTGGGATGAATAATTTTATATTTTCTATATTATAAAATATCTAAGAATCAGCGAATAAATTAGGCACAAATGATTTAGCGCATTTTTATTAACAGAATTTCTGCATCTAATTTTCTTTTTATTCTACTATTCGTTCTTTTTTTTTATTTTTATGTATTCTTTCTTTTTCTTGTTATTTTCCTTATTCCTTTGAACTGTGCATCATTTTGTCGATGATTGATCAAAACTGTTCACTGTGTTTTCCCTTGATTGAATGCACTGCTTGATGTATGATGATTCACTTGAAAAATGAATTATAATTTAATATTCGTCGTTTGCACTCGACACACATAACACTCATTTGCATGGTGGCATGAGTTTATACACGACATTGCCCTTTCTATCGTAGGTTCAGTATTTAGGCTTTTCGTAAGGTTCGTGCAGTGATATAATCTCTGTATGCTCGTGAATAGTATCTCTATTGTGGTGTTATTTGGCGCAGCGTGTGGAATATTGCTTTTGAAGGCTGTAGCATGATAGCTAGATGTGATGATGGTGTATTTTGCAGGAAGGAATATTTAGTCTTTTGGTAAAAAATATTTGAATTTCCCAAATTCTCGAATTTCAAACTTTTAAGATGTTCAAATCTCTAAGCCCCCAAATCCGCAAATTCGGAAATTTCTGAAAAAAAAAAAGAAGCAAATATTCATAAACCTTCCTGCAAGATATCAAAGTATAAACGCTCCCATAAAAATTATAAGTATGATTACTCTTACCAATAGACGTAGAATTTGATTAAAAGCAAAAAGAAAAGAAAAGAGAGAAAAGTAAAAAAATGAGACAATTGTAATTTTCTAGAGAATAATCTATATTCTCTCGATTTTGTTCCCGTGGATATGTAGAAACACCATTATGGCTGCTTCTTCAAATAGCGCCAATAAAAAACGAACGGGACCTGGTGGTCCTGTTCCTGTTGACCTTCCGGGACATCACTGCCCTGAAGCAGCCAATCGAGACGGACGACAGCAAGGGTGGTCTCTCGAAGTTCGCCAAACTGGCCAGATCGGTCACCAGGTCCAGATCCGTTCTTGTCTCACAGTTCAGCTCCCATCTGCCCGCTCTAAAGGATTCCGCGTTGCCAACCACCGCGAAGCAATCACACTTAGCTCATGTGAGACAATTTACAATAAATGATACTTCAATTCGATCGGAATATTTTAATAAAAATCGTTGAAACAGTTATAAAACAGTTGAAAGTTGTGTTGAAAACTATGAAACACAGATAAATTTCACTTCGATAGAAAAACTCTCCTCCTATCATCCGTGTTCGTCCCTGGTATTTCATGAAGATTTAGCCACGTTGGAAACACGTACTGAAAGTGATTTGCATGAAAATGTTCGCGTGATGGATTTGTGCTTGTTTCGAAATCGCTGGATTATTGTAAATCGCTGATATTTAAATGTACACGCTGCATTTTCCATTCGAGAAATTCGATACACAGTAACAAATATTTTCAATATTGAAAAACTGAGGAATGAAGAATTTTCTTTTTTTCCTATTTTTCATTGTTTTTTTAACTTCTCGATTCTGTTTTGCAGATGATGTCGTTAAGCGGCGATGTGATGCCACAGTACAGGCAGGAGGCGCCAAAGACACCGCCGCACATTTTGTTACATTACTGCGCGTTCAAGGCGATCTGGGATTGGATCATTTTGTGTTTGACCTTTTACACAGCCATCATGGTGCCCTACAACGTCGCGTTCAAGAACAAGACCAGCGAGGACGTGTCTCTGCTGGTCGTCGACAGCATCGTCGACGTCATATTCTTCATCGACATTGTCCTTAACTTCCACACCACGTTCGTTGGTCCTGGTGGCGAGGTGGTGTCTGACCCGAAGGTCCGAATTTTACAAAGCAAAGAAAAAGAAAATAAAACAAATCTGGCGTCACTTACTGCGTGACGCTTTTTTCAAATTCTCCGAAATCTCTCTTCAGTGTTGTTCCCCAATATCATTCAAGTAACTCTTCAAACCTCTCAACTTTCTTGCTCAATCAAATCTCTAAAATTGTTCCTCCACTATTCTGTTCTAATCTCAAACGAATCACTTCAAACCCATCTGTAAACCTCCGAATAGTTAATTATCTATAGTAGAGGCCAAATGTATTGGCCAGTCAAGGCCATCCTTTCCCTGTCGTCTTTTCGCATCGACGAACGGTATTATACTCTCTCCGTCTTATGTTTTATGAAGGCACGACAGGCGGAATGGAATGGAATCGAAAAAAGACGGGGATAAATGACCTTGACCGGCCAATACACTTGACCCTTACTGTAACTCGATTTGAAATTCCACTTGCAGGTGATCAGAATGAACTACCTAAAGTCATGGTTCATAATCGACCTGTTCAGCTGTTTGCCTTACGACGTTTTCAACGCGTTCGACCATGATGAAGATGGCATAGGGAGTTTGTTCTCAGCGTTGAAAGTGGTGCGTCTGCTCCGTCTTGGTCGTGTTGTACGAAAACTAGACCGGTATCTGGAGTATGGAGCCGCGATGCTCATTCTACTGCTCTGTTTCTACATGTTGGTTGCTCACTGGCTGGCCTGTGTCTGGTACGTCACTTTAAGGTGATTTTACCCTGCCCACACACAAAAAGGTAACACAAGGCTGCGGCAGGATTCGACCATCGACGTGTTTCATTCTACCCATTTTATCCTTTTTTTCACACCACTAGCCCTCCCCTATTCCCCCTACTCTTTCATTTTTCTGATCGACGTTTTATACGTGCAATCATAGTTACAGACACGGACACACACGAACATACACACACAAGGACATGGAGCACAATCTTGGGACACGCCGTGCCGCTTTTTATGAACTGTTTGCACTCGAATCCTGACGGGAATATTTTTTAATTATCCTTCACTGGTCTATCTTCATTTGTTTGTCATTCGGTGAAACGTAAGTCTTTGGAATTGTTTGATCGCAGAATTTTTTTTACATGGAAAGTAACAATGGTAAAG